CAGGCATCTCCAATTTAGCTCTGCAGCATATAGCATTTGGACCAAACAGTCCTGGATGCCTTTACTCTGGCCTCACCCTGTCTATAGTTGCAAACCAAGATGCAAAATTTAATTCTGTGGTTATTCTGCTCCTCACTGAAAGGGAAGTTCTTCTCTTATCCACCACCTTCCTGTCTATGTGCCTCCCCCGCTATATTCTGATAGGTTCTTTTTTTATTTTCTGACTTGTGGGGTCATACTCTGCAATGGTTAAGGACTACTTTGGGCTCTGCACTCAGGAATTACTCCTGATGGTGATCTAGGGACCATATGGGATGCCAAGGATCAAACCTGGGTGGGCCACATGCAAAGCAAATGCTCTCCTCACTGTACTATTGCTCTGGCCCCAGGTTCTTAATGGTTCTTCCAAATTCCAGCTCCTTGTTAAACATCCCTTAATTCCACCAGCCATCACCAATTCTCTCTGAAATCCCAACTGCATGTGAGTGGTTGGCTGCCCCAAACAATCATTATGCAGATGGTATTAGTAACCACAATTCTACTCTATCACCCAATACCAATGAGAACTTAGCTGCTGAAGTTTACAATACAGTGCAAGCAGGGAGCATATCGTAATGCAAATGAAGTTTCCCCAGATGGTGAGATAAATGAACTTTCCTAGTTCTAGAATTCAGCGCCTTCATCCATTATACACTGACCTAATTTTTAAGTTAAAAATTAAATCAATATTTCTAGCTGAGGAAGATTTCAAAGCCAAACCACTATTTTGTAAAGATCTACAGCATTATAATTTCTTATCACTGAATATAGTTCTCCATATTAATGACTGACCTCCAACTTCACACCCAAGCATTAAACTTCCACATAGCTCTTAGTTCTCAACGTTAACTTATAGACCTCCCCTCCCTGTAAAATAGCATTTAAGAAAAAAAAATTTAATCTACTAGGCAAAGTTTGGTTCATTGGATGTTGAGAGCAGAAAACAATAGCTTTGGGGCTCTAGCAAAACTTCAAAAGACTGCCCAGTGAGTGGCTGCTGGAGTACTTGGTTGAAGGAGAAGGAAGATAAACACAGGTATCCCTGGTCATTCAGGGATAGCAGCGTGAGGAAAGTTCTACCCGCTCACCAGCACCTTTAATAAAGCAAGGACTGGTACTGTATTAACTAGGCAGTTGCGGGCAATTGTAAGGTTGATCCTTTGGGGTTCTCTTGTTTCCTAGGGGATGAGACCTAGGTGGTTAAGAAACACTACGTTTGAAACACTACGTTAAGAACCAATGAGTTAAGTATTTGAATTGTGGCCCCAAAAAACAAACAAAAAAATTGTGTTTGGGGGGAAAAATTGTTTTCGGAAATGACCTAAATAATGTACTTAAAAAAAATAATAACTTGATAGGATGGGAGTGATAAATCAAAGGACTAATACCCATTCTTTGCATTCTGGAGGGCTCCACTGGATCCTGGGAACCCCCAGGAAGGATTACCCAGCACCAAAGCCTGTGACCCCCAAAATAATAATTCTTTTTAATCAATTAGAGATAGGCTTTAGTTCAGAGGCGTGGCTCCCCGGGGACTGACAGAAACTCCCCAGGCAGGCTATCAGACAACCCGGAATATCAGCTAACACTTGGGGTTGGGAGTGGAGGGCTGAGCGCCAAGCGCTGAGAGGCGCGAATGCTTCCGTCGGGTTCACCCGCACTCAGCTTCTTGCAGGTGGCCCCGGGTCAGCGTCCACCGCCCACCAGAGAAGAAACTGGGATGCAAACTTCCCGGAACTCGCTGTTCGTAGAGCCGCTGGAAGAGGCTGGGGTTCCTTTTATATCACCCCCAACCCCCCTCCTCGGGCGGGACGACCACAGAGGAATTCTCCGTGCACAAACACACCACCAACAAAAGGAAGCCCATTAGCTCTACGCTCCTGTGAACTCGCGCTCCCGCCCCAGACCACTTTGAACTGACCCCGGCCGCCGCAGCAGCCCCCGGCGCAGTGTGGGGTTCGCCGCGCCCTCCCCGGACCTAGCCCCCGCGCCCTCCCTCCCCTCCGATGCGCACTTTTGCAGCGTGCTCGGGCTTTGATGTCTCTTTACAGGAGGGTAGAGCAGCCACAGTCCTTCCCGGGCGCCCGGGTTGACTTGTGGCCTTGATACCTGCATCTCTAAGTGATTGTAACAAATTAAAACATATATGTATATACATATATACATATATATACATTGATCTCTCGGCCTGGTGTTTTTCATGGACTCGTCGAACATAACTTCATTAAGAAAAGTTTTGGGGAAGGGGGGACTGGCGGCACTTGGTGAAAGACTCCGAACTGCAGCGAGGGCCAGAGAAAGCAGGGACCCGGGCGGGCGGGCAAACACAAGAGGCTGTGAAGCCAAGAGCCAGGGCTTTGAGGCCTTGAGGAAGGGGCGGGTACGGGAGGGGGGGGAGACTGCGGGGTGGGGGGGGGAGGACGGGTACTGCCCTAAAAACTTTACATCCGTTATTTAACCAAACTTATTGTTTAATTTTGGGGTCACGCCTGGCTAGGCTCAAGGCTTACTCCTGGCTCTGCGCTCAGGTATCATCACTCCTGGCGGTGCTAGAGGGACTTTCTGGAGTGCAGGGAGTATCTGTTATTTAAGCTTTGGGCATTCACTATGGGCACAGCCATCCAAGACCAGCACTCATAGACCAGTACCATCATCACTCCTTTCCAGAAAATAGAAATCCGAGCACGAAGAGGCAGAGGAACTCGCTTGTCCAGATGACCAACCATAACGTAGCAAGAAAAAAAAATGTAGCTTCAAATTTTTCTAGTCTGAATACTTTACACCTCTTCCCCCCCCCCCCCCCCCAACCACCACCAAGTCATTCTCCAGTTTGGCTCTGCTGGGCTCCAAGGTTAGTTTAATTGGCTAATGGAGGCATCTTGGCGACGGGAATAAATTCTCTCCTATACCAACTCAAGAGATAGGGATAAGCTTCTCTCGCCTTTTTGTTAAAATAGTGAACCCAGTCCGCAGAAGAGAAGCCTTCTAAGCCAGCCCTTCCCTCCACCCTCCGGAAAGGCGTGCCCAATGAGCGCGAAGGAGTGGGAGAGGAAGCGCACGGAAAGACAGCAGCAGGCTGGAGAGGGCTCACTGGTCTCCGACATGCGTCGAGAAAGGACTCAAACCCTGGGCGCTGGTATGGAAAGAGGGTCGTCTATTGGGCTTGAAGCCTACGCTAAGATCTTGGTCCTTGCCTTATTCCAGAGCACCTTAACCTTACCAACCTCCGGGAGGACCTAGGTCGAGTTGTGCGGCCAATGCTCAGCCACTCCAGGGAGCCACCTTGTTGGGGGCAGGGGAGGGGGAGACGAGGTGTGCGCAATGAGCGAGCAAAGTGTTCACCGTTTTGGGCTTCATGCCCTATGTGTCCTGTCAAGGGGACCGGGAACGTGGCGCTGTCTCATAGGGCCTCAACCCTTAAAAGGAATGCCGAGAGGCCCAATATACAGCCCAGACCCGCATCGGAAGCCAATACGGCCAGGAGCTCGGATCACCGTGGCACACGCTGCGTGGCCGCTCCTCTCACATCACTCCAAGGTGGTTTGGTTTGGGAACTCTCAGTTGGCCTCCGAGAGGAGGGGGTGTCCCCGAGTTTGCGCCAAGAGCCGGGCGTCGCAGCCCAGGTAGCTCACTGGGCAGCAGGGTAACGTGACCCGCAGCTAGCTGGAAGCAGCGAAGGGGCTTGACCCGCATCAGAGTGTGTTTCAATCCCCTCCCAGCTGCCGAGGCTCCTCCTGCGTCTGCCCAACCTCACGCGCCTTCCGTCCCGGGGCCATTGCCTGCCGGTGTCTGACAGCGAGGGATTGGCGGGAACGAGTCCCTGATAAACAAGCTGCACACCCCACACCCTAAGACGTCCTCCAGATCCCCACAAAGTGACAGGGATTACAGTTTTGATTTTTCTTCCCTGTGGAGAGAGTCTCCGTTTTAGTCTTGGTGGGTTTGAGAAACAATAAAAGGCTTCCTCGACAGCGCGCAACTCTGCTCCCGTCGTGGGCGCTCTCTGCCGAACTTGCAGGAGGGAATGACCTGCCTCATCCCAACCTGCAGCGGGACCTGAGCTGCGTGCCCGCGGAGAAAAGAACGGCGCGGCCCTGTGCCAGGCACCGGTGTATTTTGTGGGCTGCCCTGTGAGTACTAGCCGAGCTTAGCTTTGGAGATAAAACGTGGCACGGATGTTTTTGCACACAATTTGCTAAAGTTGTAACCTGAGCAAACTTCCAGGTCGCTCGCGGGATCGTCAGCGGAGAGCCTAGGTCTCTTGTTAGAAGGGTGGCCCCGGAGCGTGCGCGCCACCCACCGACACCCTGGGCGGCCGCTTGGCCCCGCCCCGGGTCACCTCTAGACCTGCGACTCTAGGCGGCGGAAGCCGGGAGCGCTCATAGCAACGTGCCGCGTTTACCCGCGGTGCGTGCGCTGTCCGGGTGAGGAGTGTGTAAGGCCCCGGAGGGGACAGCTGTCTCCAAATCCAGAGTCTGGAGGCCTAAGTCAGATTTCTCTGGAGATAACAAAGACACTTTGTCACTTAGGGCGCTGCTTGAACGCAAATCTTTAATTGCACGGGGCGGGGGTGAGAAAAGGGGGATCCAGTGTCTCAAGCACCCCAGCGCGGGTCTCCAGGCGGCGAGGCCCCCTTTGATCAGGAAAATCCAATTATTTGTGTATATACATTTCCCACATAGTGATTACTTCATTAATTGTCCCGCCTTTATCTCCTCCCTTCCCATCCCCCCTAATAATCAGTTCTTTTATCCAGACCAACAAACACACCATAGGAGCTTTGTGGATTCAAAGGATTTGCTTTCGCTTCTGAAAGAGCCGCTATTCTTTGATGATTGGGTAGCGGCAAACTTCAAAGCCATAAATCTTCCCTCTGACTGGCTGGCGGCCCAGCAAAGTCCTTATCAAATTCTTGGAGGTGATCCTGAAGCGCTCAGACTGCGCGCCGAGCGGGCGGGCGAGCGAGCGAGCGGGGCGCGGCGAGGGGCGCGGGAGGGGAGGGCCCCGGCGCGCAGAACCCGCGCCGGAGGGACGCGGGGCGGCCACTCGTCCTCACCTTCGGGTCTCATGCGGTGGCGGCGCCCGGCTCCGCCGCTCCCGGCTCGCACGCTATAGCCATGGCCGCCGTGGCGGTTCTCCGCAACGACTCGCTGCAGGCTTTCCTTCAGGTCAGATTGGTGATGGGGGGCGGGGAGGGGGGGGGGCGAGGGCGTTAATCAAGGGACTGGGGGGATCTCTCTGGGTATTGCTTGAATCTCAAGAGGAAACCCCGCTCGGTGCAAGCCTCTGAAATCGGACTTTCAGAGTGGGTGCTGCCAGTGCCAACTTCACGCCGAATCTTTGGGGTCGAGAGCTTGGCCTTAGTGGGGGGCTGGGGAGAGGAGGCACGATCCTGGGTGGTTCCGAGGGGGGCGTCTAGCTGGGAACTGAGTAGGGGTCCCACCCGGGCTGGGCCCTCCCGCAGCGTCCAGCCCGAGGCGGGCTGGGGAGGAGCGGGGGAGGGTCGGGGAAACCCGAGCATAAAAGATGCGCGCGGGGGGGCGGGCGCTGGGGCGGGGGGCGTTCCCAGACCCCGTCTGACCGCGGAGCCGGCCTCCGCCAGTCGGACCCCAGTCCCACACGTCGTGCCAGCTTCCTGAAAGGCTGGGCAGGGGACGCGCCTCTGGGCAACCAGTAGTTTAGCCGGAAGCGCTCGCGTGCCCCTGGTCCAGGTAGCGCCGGTACCAAAGTTTTGCTGCCGGGCCGGGTGCCTGCGTGGGGGGTTGGCGGCGGGGGCGGGATGGCTGCGACGGGGAGGGGCGGCCGTCTCGCCGCTGGAGTGGGGGTGGCCGGTCGGCCGGCAGACCGCGCGCGCCACGCTAACCTTTTGTCTCTTCTCCGCCCTCCCCTGCCGCCGCCCATGCAGGACCGCACCCCCAGTGCCTCCCCGGACCTGGGCAAACACTCGCCCCTGGCGCTGCTAGCCGCCACCTGTAGCCGCATCGGCCAGCCGGGGACCGCGGCGCCCCCCGACTTCCTGCAGGTGCCCTACGACCCAGCGCTGGGCTCGCCCTCCCGGCTCTTCCACCCGTGGACCGCTGACATGCCAGCGCACTCGCCGGGCGCGCTGCCGCCCCCTCACCCCAGCCTGGGGCTGACGCCGCAGAAAACGCACCTGCAGCCGGCCTTCGGGGCGGCGCACGAGCTCCCGCTCACCCCGCCGGCCGACCCCTCGTACCCCTACGAGTTCTCGCCGGTCAAAATGCTGCCCTCGAGCATGGCGGCGCTGCCCGCCAGCTGCGCGCCCGCCTACGTGCCCTACGCCGCCCAGGCCGCGCTGCCCCCGGGCTACTCCAACCTGCTGCCCCCGCCACCGCCGCCGCCGCCGCCGCCGCCGCCTCCCTCGTGCCGCCAGCTCTCCCCCAACCCGGCCCCCGACGACCTCCCGTGGTGGAGCATCCCGCAGGCGGGCGCCGGGCCCGGGACCTCCGGAGTGCCGGGGACCAGCCTTTCCGGCGCCTGTGCGGGGGTTCCCCACGCACCGCGCTTCCCTGCCTCCGCGGCTGCCGCCGCCGCTGCCGCCGCCGCCCTGCAGCGGGGCCTAGTGCTCGGCCCGTCGGACTTCGCTCAGTACCAGAGCCAGATCGCCGCGCTGCTGCAGACCAAGGCCCCCCTGGCGGCCACGGCCAGGAGGTGCCGCCGCTGCCGCTGCCCCAACTGCCAGGCGGCGGGCGGCGCCCCCGAGGCGGAGCCGGGCAAGAAGAAACAGCACGTGTGCCACGTGCCGGGCTGCGGCAAAGTGTACGGCAAGACGTCGCACCTGAAGGCGCACCTGCGCTGGCACACGGGCGAGCGGCCCTTCGTGTGCAACTGGCTCTTCTGCGGCAAGAGTTTCACGCGCTCCGACGAGCTGCAGCGGCACCTGCGGACCCACACCGGGGAGAAGCGCTTCGCTTGTCCCGAGTGCGGCAAGCGCTTCATGCGTAGCGACCACCTAGCCAAACACGTCAAGACGCACCAAAACAAGAAACTCAAGGTTACTGAGGCCGGGGTCAAGCGGGAGGACCCACGGGACCTATGAGCCCACCTGGCGGCTCCCGGCTAGGGGCAGGGCGCGCTGCGGGCAGCGGGGCGGAGCAGAGGCGATTGCCCTTTCAAGCTGCCAGGGTCCGGGAGAGAGGCTGGGATCCAGGCTCCCTGGGGAGGCTCCTGGGACAGGGACCCAGACGGGTTCAGAAGGGGCATAGGAGTCTGCGTTAGGCTAAGGCAGTTCCCAGCTCTGGACTCTTCTTCCTACCGTCTAGGAGACTGGCACTTTGCTGCGGGGGGCAGGGAGGACCCCCTTCTCGATTAACCTTGCATATAGCAAACGCTGCGGAAGGACCTTGTAAGATCTCTGGACTAGCGCTCGGGCTTTTTTTGTGAAGAATCGGCCGGGCTTTGTACAGGTTATTTAATAGCTTTGTTAAGGAATAATTATAATAATTATAACATTAATAAAACGTGACTTTTGTCCTCAGCTCCACGCAGAGCTGCAGCATGAAATGTCTCTGTAAAGCGATGAGCAGTTACAGCGTGAAAATAAATACGTTAACTCCGGGTCACCTCGGGAAGACCCCGCTGAGCCGGTCTCATTTGATCTTTTCTTCTTCCAGGAGGTTTTGCCAAGCGGTCAGGTTTCACCGTGAATTGGAAGGTTTCCTTAGCCTCGGGTCGGAGTCTCTAGTTTTGGAAGGTTGAGGGGGAAAGTGAGTTAGGTGCGTGGATTAGGAGAAGCAGGACAGGAAGAATGTGGTGGTGAAACGGTAAGGCGAGATTTTCCACTCACAGGTGGAGTCATCCCTCCTTACGACGTGACCCAGACTGTCGGATTTCTCTCTTTTAAAGTTTGCCTTTTGCTATGCGGTCTATGATGGGCGAATTCTTTGTAATTTTCCATTTCTGGGACTCTGCTCTCCCTTTCAGCGTGATGTGCTGGTTTCCGGAGATGGCTTTGAAGAGGGACAGCTCCCAAGTGAGATTTTGGAGGCGAGAGAGAAACCGAGGCCCTGTTTGGGTTGATCTTTGCCAACAGAACGTCACGTTGTATTTCAACCCCAACATGACCTACAGCATGATCTTGTTTGTTGTCTTCTTATTCTCCGGCTTGGGGAATCTTAACTGTCTTGTTTCACAACTACTTAAGGACTTTTTCTAGGCCAGGAAAATCCGTTTTGTGGCTTGGATTTTTTGAAGCTAATTCATTGAAGCTAATTTTCTCAGGGAGGAGCCAAAGAGTGTCATAGTTTGAAATTGTGAAAATGAGGGTATTTATCTTAACTTTCTCACCTTTCTCTAAAATTTGAAGTTTACAAAGTGCTTTATCTCCTGTGTCTCAACTAAAGTTTTCCTTGACGTTTTCTAATATGAATTTTAAAATCAAAAATCGAAAATTTATTCTTGTTTCAGATTTGGCAAAATACAGAAAAATATTGTCAATTTTGTTATTATGTTCATCTAACATTAGTGATGACAAATTTCAATGGAAATCAGTTATCTTTTCTCAGTAACAAACACTACACTGGTAGGAGTTTAGTTTACTCCTGAACTGATAACTCCTGTTTTCTTCTTAAGTCGAATCAAGGGGACACTCTTAAAAGCTTGAGATTTACTGTGTTAGAACAGTCTCAACATAATTGTGATGAAATTCATTTGTATATTCCTAAAATATCATTTTTCTTTGTATTGATGGATCTGGATGAATATCAGGATCATTGTGAAAATAATGTCTTAAAACCACTTTCCCAGTAGATATATGGGACTATTTAACAAAAAAACAGACTGTGAGTCTTCAGACTCCTTGGGATGAAGTTTGAATTATATTTTCAAGAGTTTGACAGTTTTGCAAGTAATAGTGGTGAGTTGTTATGCAGTCCCTGTAGATTTACATCTAAGGATGTGATCTTAATCTAAATATTTCTGAAAATTGTTTCTAGGAAGAATTATAGAAACTCTTAGATGGGACCCATGCCTTAAAATCTATTTCATAGTCAATAAAGGTTATTTGGTTAAGTAACCAAATGTCAAAGGTTATTTGACAGGAGAAGGGGAATCCTTACTAGAAAGTGAGAACAGGGCTTTGGGTTCAGAAAATTTGACCTATTTGACCCGAGAAAGAAAAAAAGAACAATTCGGAAGTGAGATATGCTAATTTTTACTGAAGGCTGTGATCAGTATCTAATGAAATAGTGCAGATAAAGTTTCCTTGTAATTTTGACTTCGTTGAAAGAAAAATGTATAAAGTGCATGAAATTTAATATTTAAACAGATAAGTTATTTAAGATGGTTTTCTTAAAATTATAACATTGCGGTTAAGAGGAGAAGTAGATTAAATATATGGCATTTATCTAAAAGTATATATTGGAGAAGAGGGCATTGAGCCACATAAAGTTCTGGGGATTGAACTGCACCAGTTGGTGCAAACTGGGTCCACCAGTTGCAATGCAAGCACCTCTATACTGTGGTCTGTCCCTAGAATATATATAATTTTAAAAGCTGAACCATTTGCTGGCCATTTTTTTCTTAAGTTATTATCTGAGTCTAAAATTTTTAAGTTAAGAGTAAAGTCTCTCAACTGATTTGGTCCAGCTGAACACCTGCTCCTCATTTTACCATTTCAAGATACATAGTCTCCTCAGCACCAGCAGGAATGATCCCTGAGCACAGAGTCAGGAGTAAGTCCTTAAACAAACCAAATAAAAAAACAAAATAAAATAAAAAGCATGCTAATGGATCACTTCTATCTTTATGGTTGGGAAACCATAAGGATCAAATCAGGCCTCTTGCATGCTGAGTATGTACTCTAGCTCACTGAGCTATCTCTTCAGTCCTAAAAATTATTTAAAAATAAATCATTATGCAAAAATGATATGCTATGAATTATCTATATAATAAAGCACAGTTGTAACGGAAAATTTAATGAAACTCAAGTTAAAAAATTTTTAGAAAAGGGACCAGAATGGTAGTACAGTGGGGAGAGCGTTTGCCTTGCACTCAGCCAACCCAGGTTCAATTCCCGGCATCTCATATGGTCCCCCGAGCACTGCCAGGAGTAAATCCTGAGCATCACTGGTGTGACTCTAAAAGACAAAAATATTAAAAATTTTCGGAAGCTAATTACTACTAAATAAAAACTAAAATTATTTCCTTGCGGTTTTGCCAGCTTTGAAAAAGGAAGTTTAATTCGTCAATTGTATTTAAGTTGTGTTTAAGTTTTACATAAAAGTACTCCAAGCTTACTGGGGAAAAAATGTGAATGACCATCTTAACTCCTTGATGCAGGCACTGCAAATTGTTTTTCTCACTGATAGTTTTATTCATATACTCCACTTTGTCAGTCAGCATCAAACTAAAGTGTAATATGAAATTTTAGTAATAATAACCACTTCTGTTGGCACAGCCTGATGATATCCAAGTGTGAATGATCAGTGGTATGCACCAGCAGCAACATATTAAATGTCAGTATATTTACATTTTTCAGGCAAATTTTTTAGGATGCAAATACAGTGTAAAGTGTCATTTAAGAAATTTAGGGGCTATAAATGAAAAAATTAAAATTAAAAAATAAAAAATGTAAGGACTAGAGAGATAATACAAATGGTAAGACTCTTGCCTTGCATGAGGCCAGTCCCAGTTCGATCCCTATCACCACTTATGGTCTAACAAGCCCTGCCAGGAGTCATCCCTGAAAACAGAGCCAAGGAGTAAATTGAGCATAACCAGGAGTGGTTCCTACAAAAATTTATATTTTAATGTGATAAGAGTATTTTTTAAAGAATTAGCAATTGATAAGTCACCATTTTGCTCACTATCTTAGAACATAAAGAATTAAGTTTTCTCCTTATCATATAGGTCAAAGGACTTTTTGTGTGTATAAAGGACTTTGTGTGGGGGGAGGGAGCCCTGAATTCCATCCCTGGCTCTGCATCATCCTCAAAGTGCTACTGGGTATGCCCCAAAACAAAGAAGAAATCCCAAGAAACTAAACTATCATTAATTACTTGGAACTTTGTGTTTCTTGTGAGCAATTCTGTTGTTTTCTGCTTTTCTCAAAGGGGGATTATGTAGATTTATCGTTAGCTGACCCGTGATTTGTACTAATTCTGGTATTGAATGAAAGTAAATTATGTTGAAGATAGTACAGAAAACAGAGAGAGTACAGTGGATAAAGTGCTTACCTTGTGTACATTCAAACTGGTTCAATCACCAGCGTCACATATGGCCACTCCTAAGCACTACCAGGAGTGATCCCTGAGCACAGAATCAGGAGCAAGCCCTGAGCAGTATTGGGTGTAGCCCCCCAAACTAAGAAAGATAGTACAATTATATAATTCACCACCATGATAGTCTTTTCTACTATGAATTGACACCTCATTTGATGTACTATAATTATGTAAATATAATTTATAAATCTTAGAATATGTACAGTATTTTAAATTATTTTGCCGTTCATTCAGGCAAGACATTCAAACTTAAAAAGTTGGGCTTGAGCATGCTTCTTACAGAAACCTGTATGATACAGTATTTTCAGAAAAGGAAATTTTCACCCCAATTCACACTGTGTTTCTATTCTAATACTGTGGGTTTGTAAGTAGCTTAAAGCAACATTTTTAATGAATCCTGTTTGATCCTGCTGTAAGAATTTCTGGAAATGTTACTATTGCTGTAGCTATGACTGCAAACTCATGTAAATAGCTAATAGGTTGTTTTAGGGCTCTACAGTGCCAAACTGGGACCAGAGAGACAACTTGATAGACTGAGTGATGCTTTGCATGCATCACTGGTTAATCTCTGGCACCACATGATTCCCTGAGCACTCAGGGATTGATCCCCAAGTACCATTGGTTGTGACCCAGAAAACTAAAAATAAACCCAAAAAATGGAAACTATTTTCCCCTTACATTAGTTTATCACATGAAATAATGACACATTGAGGGACCAGGAAGATGACCAAAGGCATGTTGGAGGACCTGTTTTAGTCCCTGGTTTTACGTCCTACCTTGAACCCTGCAGGAAGCAGTTACTAACTAGAACATTATCAGGAGCAAGCACTGAGCAAGTAATATCCCCCATGCACTGCCAGATGTGGCCAAAATAACAATAATTAAATGATGATAATAATAACAAGTTTAGATAAATTAGCACTGACTAAGAAACCATCTGTATTGTGGAATCAGTTTCAACCCTCAAGCCTTGTGTTAAGGTAAATGTACTTAAACGTTTTATCTTCCCAAATTGAGGACCAGGACCACTCAAAGCAAGTCATAAGT